TGTAAGCACTATCAAAATGAACAAACTTGTTAGACAAAAATGAATCAAATGCATTATGTAAGAATTCCAACAATAGCTTGTTCATAATAAATAATCTTTTATCATTTTTATTCCACTTGTATTTCTTTAATGTGGGCACAATATAAGCACAATCAATGACTTCTCATAAATTGATATTTTTAGATTGAACAAATATTTTGAATCTAAAACACCATTGAGCATAAGGGAAAACGTTGAATTTAGGAGCAATACTAGAATCATAGCCTAAACAAGATGCATCATTCATATCCATAATTTGTAAAAAATATGCAAGCAAGATACAAATACAATCAAAACAAGATTAGCACAAAAAGATAACTTGGATCTTTAACTCAAGGCGATTAGATCTTAAATCAAAGAGCACCAAGCTCTGATACCAAATGTTAGACCCTAGAGGGGGGGTGATTAGGGTCTTATGCTAATCTAATCCGATTAAATACCAATTAAAATTAATTAATAAATTATTCTTGCAAGAGAGATATACAAAATGTTACAAGCAAGAATATGTAATATGATCAAAGAGATATATCCTAGCAAAGAGGTATATGATAAAATATATGTAGGGCAAAGAGGTATATGATAAAATATATGTAGGGATATATAAACATAAGGGTAACATAAACAAACGTAAACAATATAGTGGACAAGCTAGATAATGAGACAAAGGCGATATGAGCAATGAGTACAAATATAAATGAACGCCAAAGCACACTCAAACACAATCAAATGATCATGGAGTTCGGACATTCCGTCCTACGTCTCCGCTCCCCACTCCCGGGGAGAAATTCACTATCACAATCCGGTTTGGAAGCCGGAACTTCTACACACTCGATTTTCTAGCTAACCAAAAACTCTACAACTTACACTCTTGTAAACCCACTCTACACCCTCACAAGTGTTGGACCTAGTCGTGTCTCCCTCAAGTATCGGGTTCTTTATTCAATTCATAAAGAAAGGATGCTTTTCTTTTCGATCGGTTACAACCTCTCCCTAGGTTCGTCAACCGACGCCACTCCTCTTGGGACGATCCCCGACTCTCACAACCTCTCCCTAGGTTCGTCAACCGACGCCACTCCTCTTGGGACGATCCCCGACTCTCACCACACACTACTCTCGGTGTACAAGTATATTACAAAGTGATCTCACGATTAAGCACAATACAAAGAATGATTGTTCTCTAATATGGATGAGAACATAATGAAAGCTCATACTCAATTGTTACAACTCTCACCAACCCTAAATATACTATGTATGAAAATACAGTAAGCTCAATGTGGGTGTGTGTGTGTGTAAACAATAAGTAAAATCAAATCTAACTCAAATAGCAAATTAGCAATAATAAGAATATGAAAATCAATAATAATATTGTTAGAGAAAAGAGTTAGAAAACTTCTCTATAAACACAAAGAGAGGATGAGAAGATATTGAAGATGAACTCCTCAACAGATGATGCAAACTCCGCTTTATAACAACAAAACCCCAAAAACAAACTAAACAAACTTAAACTCTTTTAAAACATGTTTAAAACATCCCATTGGGTTTCTGATAGAAGAGGGGTTGAGGGGTTTATATAGAAAGAGAAACCAACAGCCAAAACCCAAACAAAACAACAAAAATCCCAAAAAAATAGGAAACAGATTCTGTACCCAATATAGCCGTTGGGCTGTCGGCGCTCGACTGTGAAATTCTCGCGGTCGACCACGAGGCACTACAAAATCTCAGAAAACTTCTAGAGACTTTGGCGGTCGACCGTGGGAAAATTTGAGCTGACGGTCGACCGTGGCGGTCGACCGTGAACTGATACAAGAAATCAGATTTTGAAAGTTGTTTTCTAATCTTAAAACACTGTTTAAAAATATCAAATAAATTCTAAAAAATGTAAAACTTTGGGGAATGATTGTAGACATGATAATAAACATGCTATAATGTCTGGTTTCCAAAAAGGACTTCCCAAATAAAAATATCATCATTTTACAAAATAGGCCAAAACATGAAAATGTAAACATGTGAATTTTGACATTTTGGCTAAACCATGTTTTAAAACTTTGCACAATGATTATATAGACTTAATAAAAAAACAATGAATACAATATTTTTACAAATACAATAGAAAATGAAACATATGAGTATGTATATGAAAATATATTGCTTCATATCTAAGTAGTTAAACCAAATCACAATAATAAATATGAAATATGTAATTTTATATTTATAAACATAAAAACCAAAACTTGTGTTGAATATATATATGACTACATATATATATAAGGAAACCAATAAAATGTGTGTGTATATGATATTGAGCTTAAAGTATCTAATACACATAATATAAAACCTAAACTAGATTACCCAAGCCGATCTTGATCTTCAATAAGCTTGACTTTGTACACTATGCGGATGAAGCTGAACTTGGATCTTGAACTTGAATTGCATAAGCTTCACCCTACAATTCCGCCAACCTCCATTGGATATGATCATTGAAGTTCTATTCCATCCAACCTCCAACACGTTGTTTACCTAGAATACATATGAAAATACAAACACTAGACAAAAAATATTAGAAGTAAATTGTTTATTAAACATTATCAAAACACGAAGGCCAACAGAAGAGAGGAGAGAGGAGAGTAGGTTGATGCGGTGGGCACGACGAAGACGGACGGAGTGCTTGGTCAGAGCTGGGCGGCTAGAGAGGAGAGTAGGTTGATGCGGTGGGCACGACGAAGACGGACGGAGTGCTTGGTCAGAGCTGGGCGGCTCGAGCAGGGAAAGGTGGTGCGGTGGTGTGGGTGGCCGGCGGTGGAAGAAGAAGGAGGGGAGGCCGACGAGATATGAGAGAGAGACATGAGAGAGTTGAGAGGCGGCGTGAAAAGGAGAGGAGAGAAGAGAGAAAGAATAAAAAAC